TTGGATTGCTCACGAAAATTTCTTGAGACATTAAATAAAGCTAGCCATCATAAGTTATTTTCCTGTTAACCATTTTTCTAACACATACATGTTGGGCAAATACCAAAAAAAAAAAATCAAAAGCAGAAAAACCTTAAAAAAGTTAAATACATGGGTCTTGTTTGTTTATTGCTATGTTTGATATGCATGAAGTAATGAATACCAAGCAATTCATTTTTACCACATCATTTATTCTTAGGTTGCCGAAAACATTTAAATACAAATAATATGTGTAGCAAAAATAATGAAAGCAGACAGCAGGTAACTTTACAAAGAATGGAATGTGAACCGTTTCTGCCCTTAGCCAGAGTAAGTGGGAGGTGACTTTGTCTGGAGAACCCCGCAGCTGGGGTCACAGGAGCGTGCTGAGACTGCTTACTCCCGGGAAACACAGGGCCCCTCACACACGGAGACCCATGGGCATCTGTTTCAACCGCAGCCTTGGAGGTGCTCCAAACCTCCACGTACCCACAGTAACTACACCCGTATCTGGAACCATTGACCCCTTTTATTCCCCACCAGGACAGACCAATATGCAGGCAGTTTTCTTGGCTTGGACATGGAAGCAGTTTTAACACCAGCCCTTGTGAAACCACAGTGTACTGCAAGTATGAAGCCAAACATTTGTAACTTGTGTAAAAATTTCACTTCCCTTACTGGCCACCTCAAGATGAAAACAGATAACTCCCTGAATATTAACTGGCTCTACTCCCCTAATAGTAAACATAAAACCACACGGGAAATATAGACATTCACGTAGGAGTAACATAAACCTGTCCTAAACCCTAAACAGAAAACTATTTGTGGGCAGCATGGATGACGCACGGTCCACTGTGTAAATTTTAGAGCGAGGCAGACAAAAGTCGGGAGCCCAGTTAGTTTTCCCCTCCTGCTTCAGCTTCATCTCCCTGGGTACCCGAGGTCCACAGTATCACGTTGTCTTTCAGTTATTGCATTATTGGCGTGCCGGCCTTGTATGACTCTTCACTTAATGTATCAAGTTCAGCGATGGCTTTATCAAAAGCTCTCTTTGCCGGAGAACAGGCTTTCTCTGGGGAGTTCAGAATCTCATAATGGAAGACAGAGAAGTTAAGGGCCCAGACCCAACCTGATAGGATGTGTTGGTTGCATTTCCTTTTTGCTGATTTCAAAAGCTTCTTGGAGGCCGGGCATGGTGGAGCTGCCCGCCTGTAATCCCAACACTCGGGAGGCTGAGGCAGGAGGATCGCTGTGAGTTCAAGACCAGTCTGGGCTACATAGTGAGTTCCAGGTCAGTCTCAACTACATACTGAGACCCTGTCTCAAAAAACAAAAAAAAAAGCTTCTTGGTACGCTTGTTGTGACTGGTCCACAATCCCTTTTATGTCGTCACCAGCATCAACCTCAGCCAAATAATGATAGCAGTCTCCTTTCATTTTCAAATAAAAGACTTTGCTCTCTGCTTGTGAAGCACTGGGGATTAAGAACTTTTCCAGAAGAGAGCACATCCTTGAAGGTATCCCTTAGTTGTCTCAATTTTCTGTCTGTATTCTCGAGCCATCTGCTGCTTTTTCTCAGCACCTTCATCTTTTGCTCAGTACTTGAGACAACCCTCCAGAATGACCCATGCGCTTCTACAAGATTTTTATAAGCAATGGAGAGAAGATCCCTCTCATTAGATAATTCAGCGCCTTGCTCAGTTACAGGCTTTACGCAGGTTTCCCTGTCGTCATATCACTCAGCCTGCTCAGCCAGTTTGGCCGTCTGCACCAGCTGGTCTTTGTCCATGCCCGGATGTTCTGTGTCCTGGGTGGGTGTTGGTGCACAGCCAGGTGAAGTGGTCTCTGGGCGTCGGTGATAAGGCAGAGACTCTGTCCCTGCATCTCGCTGCTCACAGGCTACAGTCCTACAGGTTAATTTTAGAAACAGTGAAGGGCTGCGGAAAACAGAAACACAGAACAGTGTGGATTGGTCCTTTCAAAATTGCTCTCTTAGACAGGCATGGAGGTACACGCCTGTAATCCCAGCACTCAGGAAGCTGAGGCAGGAGGATTACAGAGTTTTAAATCCAGCCCGAACTACACAGCAAAATGCTGTCTCAAAACATCACCCAACCAACCAAACAAAACAAAAGTTGTTCTCCTTGGAAAGTGTGGAAAGGGAGAGAGAACAGTAGAAAAATAACTGCTTACTGGGTGTGGTGGCACATGCCTCTAATCTCAGATTCTCAGGAAGCAGAGACAGGTGGATCACAAGTTTCTGGCTAGCCTGGGCTACTTAGAGAAACCTCATCGCCAAAAATATATAAATAATAGTTAAATAAATAAATGGCACTGGCAATATAGCTCCCTGCCAAGCCCCCGGATTCAATCCCAGTAATACACACACGCACACACACAGAACTGAATGAATTTGGTTTAACAGGTTATTTCAGGATACTTTTTTAAAAGGTAGAATTAAAATGGAGGAAATTTCACAATTGTGCCAATTGAAACTGGCCTGTTTGGGAAAATTTGGCTGTAATCTCTGTGTCCCAATTTCTTGGAAGGTCAGATAACAACTTGGTTTAGAGATGGGAGACTTTAGCATGGGGACTCCATTCTGATTTTTAATCTGGTCTGTTGGGGCCCACTGTAGGGACTTTGTCCAAAGTAATGGTTCTCTGCGATGTTTATTTAATACATTCCTTCCCTGCTGCATTTTCCTCATTCTCCCACAGAACTTCCTGAGATCACTGATGAAGATAACTACTTGTCTTCAGTCTTCAAATCTGCCCCAGAGTCTCTCTCTCTCTCAATCTCTCTCTCTCTCTCTTTTTTTTTTTTGAGAGAGAAGAGGCAGACTAAAACTTGAGAGCCTCTTTGACAGGAAAATGTGGATTATAAAACTGCAGTGGATGCTTCTTCAGCTACTGGGTGTGTAGAAATTGTTTATTGATAACTTCCTGCAGGCCAAGCATGATCCTAAGCACCTTCCCAGCACCTCGTGTATAATAATCGTAGAAGTGAATGTGGTCATGATCTTTTGTATTACAGGCGGGGAAATCAGGCTTTGACTTGTCCGAGGCTGCATCACTTGCAAGTGCTGGAACTGGGCTTTTAGTTCTGGACCCTCCACTCTTACCTGCTTGCTGTCTTTTTCAAACTCTGGAGTGCCAATTGCAGAGTCAGGGAGCCGACACCATCCGGGCACTGTTCGGAGGCCTCCCCTGGATTGCTGAGAGGCAGGTGGGATGGGAGGGAGACTGGAGATTTGACAGGTAGAACCCTCCATCAAACCAACTGAGCGACCTTGGCGAGATCACTTCTCCTCTGGCCCTGTTTAAAACCTCCGTGTAACCCGGCTGGTGGTGGTGTGGTGGGAGATACTGGACGGGTCGTGGCGCTTTTGATGAGTTCCAAACAAGGAAAAGCGTGAGGAGCACTTGGCATCCTGTAAACATGAGGGAAGGTTGTGGATGCTGCGATGTCCATCACAGGCCCCCCGCTCCCTCCTCTGGAGACTGCCCTCCCTTTTAACCCATTTCCTCAGCTTCTTCCTGGCTGCTTTCTTGCAGGAGTGTGAGGCCTGGCATGGTGACCCATGCCTGTCATCCCAGCATTCTGGAGGCCTAGATAGGAGAATCGTGAGTCCCAGGACAGCCTGGGAAATTTAGTGAGAACTTGTTTCAAAGAAAAAAAAAGTGTGATGTAGGTGTAGTATCTATGGTGTATTCATAGGTTATAGGCTCACATGGGGTAGTTTAACATGATGGAGGTATAGTATGATGGAACTTTTGGCAAGGGTTCGAATCCCACTTCTGCTATTTCTACTTTGGGCGGGGAGAAAACAAACCTTAGGCAGGCCATTTAGTCTCCTCAGGTCTCAGTTTTCTTGTCTGTAAAATGGGGACAATAAGACAGAGCTAGAGAAAGAGTTAAGACAATGCTTATACAGTGTTTGGCATAGCCCAGAACATGTTAGTGCTCAGAGGACGATGGCTCAGGTATTACTATTGATTTTACAAGGAAAAAAATATGAGCCACTTCCAAAGATAGAAGAAAAAATATTTTTTGAAGAAAAACTAGATTTGACCGATTGTACAAGATATTTAAGAAAAGACTTATTAGCTGACTCCACCTACTTAAGGGAAAGTGAGAAAACCTCAATCTGTCATTGCATTTCTGTTTACATTCAAATTTCACATCTCTTACCAGAGAATAGGATTGCGTGCTGGAAGCCATGATAGAAAGCGATAATGTCATAGTGCAAAAGGTATCATCTGTGTCATCTAACGCACATTTGGTTCCTTCAGGGTTAATAAAGATTTTATCTCTGCGTCTTGCTTCTCCCCCTTACCCCAAACTAGCAGAGAAAATATGCTGTGAAGTCGGGAGGTGGTGAAAATCCCGAATTGGAAAAGAGACAGGAAACGAGCTAGATCACTCTAGGCGACCAGGTATGGAATTGGAAAGAAGCAGGGCAGGGGCAGAAATCCGTGCAAGGAGGGAAGATGCAGAAAACAAGGAAAAAGAAACAGTGAAATGGGAACGAAGGAGACAGAGCCTCTGTAAATGGGAAGGGGATCTATAGCCGGAAGGAGGGAGGGGGATAGAAAGAATTAAGATATGTAAAGTGCATGCACCTGCGGCCTAAAATGAATGTAAACATGTACTGAAAACACTTGCTTAAAAACAATAACAACAACAACAAAAACAAGAAAGAGAAGCAGAGGAAAGAATATCCTTCCACAGACACACAAAAAGACTTATTTGATTAGGGCCAGATTCTATCACCAGCTGTTTACATAGCTTCCACTGAGTTTTATGGTTAGCCTTCCTAGTAGCTCACTGGAGACTTTTTAATCCATGTTACATACTGCTGGGTATCTGCTGATGCTTAATTTCTTAAAGCACTAAAAAAAAAAAAATCTATATTAACTTTTTTTGTTTCAGCAGGGCCCAAATATTTATAGTTTATTCCTCTTAAAAATTATATCAGTAGTGCTCACTTCGCCAGCTCATATACTAACATCGGCACGATACAGAGAAGATTAGCGTGGCCCCCGTGCAGGACTGACACTCAAATTTGTGAAGCGATCCGCAGTGTAGAGCTAAGGAGATTGGCAGCACCATGTGTGGCAGGAAGGGATGGATGATTCCATGGCTTTGCGGTCACAGAAGTTCCAAATCGGTGATTACCTGGATGTTGTGATACGCTCTTAACATGGGGCACCACCTCCTGGGCTTGTGAGACCATATTAAATTTTATTTACTCTCTCGAATTTATTTTTCGTCCAGCTATAAGATAAGCTTATGCTTTATAAGATAAACTTATGCTTTTTTCCTTCCCAGAAAAATTATATATCAGTAAATCATATTCTTCAAATCGTATATGATCCACCGGTAAATTTTAGCACCCTTGAGAGGGGTATCCAGTTAGGTAGCGTACAGCATTCTAGTGTACAGCAGACTGCAGATGCGAGGGCAGCCCCGTAAGACTGTGATACAACTAGAACAGGAACACAGCACTGAAGAAGAGGTAAAAGGAAGCTGTGGGTGAAGGAAAAGGGGTACCACAGGGAAACTCACAGGGAAAGGTTAGCCGGTGTCTGTGTAGACCTCAGCAAGCTCCGTGCACATGTAAAAAACATGCATCTCCCAAACCAAAAGATCTTCACGAATGGAGAGGAATGTCTGTGGTGCGTTATCTACTTTCAAGCAAATGTGTGATTAAAAAGAGAAACAAACCAAGCAAACCACCTTGAATATATTTCTAAAAAACAATGCCATGTGTGAGAAGCACCCGGCAGGTCCTTCCAGGGTTTCCCTGAAGGAGCCATTGTTATCACAGGAGGTGACCACTGCTTGCACATTAATGCCCCTGGGGAGCCGAAGGTGGGACTGCACATAAAGGGGGAAACAGTTGCTATAATTTGGACCTGGAACATCCTCCAGGTCCCTGTGTTGAAAGCTTGTTTGCTGGTGTGATTCTGTCTGGAGGTGGTGGAGTACTTAGGAGGTGAGACCCAGCAGGAGATCTTTGGGTCACTGGGGGTGAGCCACTGAAGTAAGCTGTGGGCTCCAACACCTTCCTCTTTCCTCTTTTGATTCCTGGCCATGAGGTGAGCAGTTCATTCTGCAGCATCCTGTCTGCCATTGTGGTCGAGCAGACCCATCAGTGTCCCAAGCAATGGGTCTGTTGCTCCCAGACAAGAACTTCAAAAGCTGTGGGCCAAAATAAACCCTTTTGATTTTTTTTTTGAGTTACATTTAATTTATAACTGGTTGCTTTTGACTCTCAAGTGTCTTCTTCCCTGAATTTCTCCCTACATCAAGATTCTTGTTGGATTTTTAAAGGCTTCATCTCCCACCAAACACCAAGTCTTTTCTCTATACTCGAGGCCTGCAGATCATTGCTACTTCTCTTCTGTGATGAGTTAAACCCTTTCAATTTATAAGTTAGAAAAGAAAAGAAAAGGAAAGGAAAGACCAGCAAAGAAAGCTGGCCCTGGCCTCCTACCTTTGGCGGTTGTCTCGATAAGTGATTCTTTCCTTTGTCACTTCCTGCCTCAGGGTCTCACTGGAGAGAACCTGGTGGGTCTCCCTGACTCTGTGAGAACCGCAGGCTCAGGAGGGCTTAAACTCAGCACTTGTTAACTTGTCACCATATAAAAGAAAGGAGAGAGGCCTGACATTTTCCCAACCCCTGAAAGTGAAAGAAGAAAGGGTTCTTTACTTTCTGGGCCACATCCTGAATGACAGGGGTCAGTGTCTACCACTGATCCCTGTGGGCGCAGGCATCTAATTATTTCCTGGATAACCTGTTATCTATTATCCATTAGGCTGCTTGCCAGAATAGGCTAATGTCTCCACAGTTCCTGGTCTGGATTCTAATGAGCCATTTTTTGTTTTGTTTTGTTTTGTTTCTTGTTTTTAAAGGAAAAGTAGGAGGTGAGTGATTGGCAGCTATAAGCTTCCAGGAGCAGAATGGCTGTCCCCTGCCTCTCTGTTAGCCTGTGCTGGTGGAGAGCACATGTCACAGGCCAATGGCCCCATGACAACTAACAGTCTCTCCTCTTTCTCCTGGCTCCTTGACTTGCACTTTTCTAGGAGACTCGGCTTTATCAGAACCTTCTGGAAAAGCTTCTGAGAAAGGCATGTTTTTCTGGGCTGCTGTCATTTGCTTGGAGAACAAGGACACTCTTCAAATAATTTTGTGTTTTGGGAAAGGGAGGGTAGAGAGGGTATCAGAATTCAATAGGCCACTTCTTCTGTGGAGCAGGGACAGAACTTGGCTGTCACCCAAGTGAGCTCTGTATCTTTAACCATCTACCCTGGCCTGCAGATTTGTACAAATGCACAATGAAATGCCATCAGGTGGGAGGGGTATGCAAATATCGGGCAGGATTCTTTTCTTTTTTTTTTTTTAAATTATAAAGATAGCACATGTTCATTATTTAATAGGGACTCTAAAAAAGCAAAAAGAAAACACCCCAGAATTCGTTTCTCAGAGATAATCACTGTTAACATTTTGGTGTATCTTCTACTTTTTTTCCTATGCTAATTTATACCTGCCATTGCAAAATAGGGCCCTTTGGTTTTTCTTGGAAGCATACGGCAGGGTGTAAAGCAGACTTGCTGAGTGGAGGGACAGAGGCCAGGTTGATTAGCATTGCAGGCAGATTATATGAGGGGAGGAGGGACTACACAAAGACTGCAGGAAACCCTTACCAGAGGATCCGGCTGAATAGAGGTCACGTGTGCACAAGTTTGTAGGTTGTGGCTCCACGAGGCTACTCAAAACAGTTTTGGGGAAAGGACCATTCTGGGGAGCTGAAAACTAAACACTACCAGAAACTTATGCATCATTGGAATTTTATCTTATTTTTAATAAGTAATAATAATAATAATAATAAACCCTCACTGAACATGTAGGGCCTTTAGTACATGTGAGTGAGGCCTTAGGAGTGAGCCCTAACTAGCTGCAGGGTAAGGAATCTCTAGACTGCCCTAACCAAGATTAAAAACCCTCCTCAAAAGGAATGTGATGACCCACATGAAATTTAAAACTACCCATCCAAACAAAATTCAACACTCTTTGAAAGAAGACTCCCCCAAAAAAGTATATAGTATAGTATAACATTTATAATGTCCAGCATCCATTAAAAAGTTTCTTGAAGCCAGGCATGGTGGCACACGCCTGTAATCCCAGCACTTGGGAGGCTGAGGCAGGAGGATCGCTGTGAGTTCCAGACCAGCCTGAACTACATAGTGAGTTCCAGGTCAGTCTCAACTACATAGTGAGACCCTGTCTCAAAAAACAAAAAAACAACAAACAAACAGAAGCAACTCCCACTTGGTGGGAAGGGGATATAAGGTGAGGTTCAAATGATGAAAATTTAGGAATTGAGAGGAAGGCAGCTGGAGAGTGGAGACTGGGTGGAGAATGTTTCTGGGGAGGCCGTTTTTGTGAATTCGGGGGAGAGGCCTGTAGAGTTGGGACCTCTGAGGGGAGTGCCAGCCACCTGGTGCTGGGGTGCCTGCCGTGATGTGATGAAACTGGTTTTGTAAGCACTGGAGCAACTGTAAAATGCACTTAGCTCTTGCTGGGGGAAGGACTTACTGCTGCCTGGGTGAAGGAGCATTTTGGGGAGGCTCACAGGAGCTGGAACCACAGGCAAACAGGAAGGAGCAGGTCCTTTATCCCTCCGCCAGCTGCAGTTTCCTTCTCGTGCCTCCTAGGGGCAGAACTCAACACAGGCACCAGCACAGCAGAAATATGATCCGCAGTGTTATCTGCAGTATGAAAGGGTGGCCTTCAGGTGGGCTCAGTGATGTCCACCTGTGGATCATAAGTTCAAGTCCAGCCCAGGCACCTTAGTGGAACACCATCCCCAAAATAAAAATGACACATTTAAAAATTAAAAAGAGCTGGGACGTAGCTTAGTGTAAGGCCTTGGATTCAATCTCCAATACCGGAAAAGGAAAAAAAAAAAGGAGCCTTGGAATTGATCCTCAATAAGCAAGCATGTTTGGGTTTATTTGCTTTTGTTTACAGTACTAAAAAGATTCCCCCATCCTGATCTTTCTTACTTAATTTAATTTTGTTTGTATGTTTTTTGGTACCAGGGATCGAACTCAGGTCCTTGCGCTTGCGAGGCAGGCAGTGGAACCACTGAGCTAAATCCCTGGCCCTTAATTTTATTTTTTAATATATAGAATATTAACATGTTTCCCAAGAATAAAAAGTATACAAAAAATTATGTGCAGAGAAGTGTCCTCATCCCTCGATCCCTTCAACCTGCCCCCTCAGCACTTACATTGTTTTATGATTCATTGTTCCTTTTCTAAAATTAAGCAAAACATATATGTTGCCTTATTCCCTTTTATCTTTCCTTATTCAGACAGGATCTCCCTATGTTGCCTACCTTGAAACTGTGCTCCTCTTGCTTTGGCTTCCCAAGTAGCTCAGATTACCTTTTAGTTTTATATAAAAGTATATTGTGTTAGTTAGCTTTCCATTACTGTAACAAATGCCTGAGATGAATCAGTTTATGAAGAGGAAATGTTGATCTTGGCTCACAGCTTAGGAGGGCTCAGTCCTTATTGGTTGGCCCCACTGTTTGTGGCCCATGGCAAGGTAGCACCACTGCACTAGAGCAGTATTCACCTTCTGGTAGCCAGGAAGCAAACTGAGAGAAAGAGATCAGTGGCCCACATCCCTTCAAGTGTGAGGCCCCGGTGATCTAAGACCCCCACCTGGCCCCGCCTCTTAAAGTGTTCCCACCTCCCAATTCTACCACACGGAGGACCAAGCCTTTAGCACACAGCAATCTCTGTGTTACACATAACTCTTTTCACTTTTAATTTTTCATTGACTATATTCTGGAAATAAGCTCATGAAATATATTCAGATCAGTCATATCGTCTCATCTTTTTTTTTAATGCATTTCAACAAAACACCATATCCTTAGCCAGTTTTGTGTGCCTGGGTATTTGAGATATATTTTGCAATTGCAAATAACATTGCACGAGCAGCATCACGCATGGATTTTTTTTTTTAATTGCTGGAGGGGCATCTTTGTGGCAAATTCCTAGAAGTGGGACT